ATGGCATATCATACACGGAATAGCTACATATATTAACATTTCACCTAGATTAGTAAAAACACAATAAAATGTAAATGTTAAAAAGATCTATGTTCAAATACCAGTGTAGGCCATCTAACCCAGTGGTTCTCAACCTGTGGGTCGGGACCCCATGTGGGGTCGATCGACCATTTCATGGGGGTCGCCAAGCAAGGCTGTCCACCATTTTTTTTGTCCGCCATTTTTTCCCCCCTTTTCCGGCGGGTGCCTTACCTCCCTTGAGCTGGGCCAGCTGGTGGTCGGCCTGCTCCGTCTCTGCCGCTTGCCAGCTACGCCTCGGCCGGCGCAGGGGGCGGAACCACGCATGCGCGGCGCTCCCGGGCAGGGAAAGTCCTCGACTTACGACCGGTTGGGTAGTCCTCGACTTACGACCGGTTTAGTCCTCAACTTACGACCGGTTTAGTCCTCGACTTAAGACCGGTTGGGGTCACGGCATTAAAAAGGTTGAGAACCACTGATCTAACCATTGAAGCGCAGCTTCGTTTATATTTTTTAAAAATGCAGATACTGGACCAGTAGGTGCCCTCAGTTTACAGCCGGTCACAATGTGATCTACAGTTTGAGGTGGTACCCTGCAGTCACACCCTGCGGGAGAGGGAGAGAAAAAAAAACACATGGAGAAAGAGAGAAGAGAACAGGCTTTTATTAGCAAAGCGGTGAGGAGAAAGCCAGCGAGCTGCCTTTGCGTGCAAAGAGTGAGTGAAAGAGTGAGAGGGTTTTGCAAGCAAAGGGCGAATGAGAGGGGGAGGGCTTTTGCGAACAAAGGGTGAGAGAAAAAGGAAAAATTGAGGGGGAGAAAGGAAAAATAAAAGACATTGACTTCTGACTTCCTCAGTTGCAGTAGAAGGAACCATTAATACTGAACATCAACGTTTTACTTTTCCATAATATTATAAACTAGCCATTTCTATAACAACAAATGAATCTAACCGGTAAAGCCCAAAATCCCCCCCCCTTTTTTTTAATCATCAAGTTTTGACACCTTGCTAAACACTGGTGGTACTCGAATATTACCATGTCCTAAAAGTGGTACAATCTGTGAAAAGGTTGAAAAGCTCTGTCCTAGTGGATGATCACTTAACCATGAGCCAGCAGTGTGCAGCAGCAGCCAAAAAAGCTAATACAATCCTGGGTTGTATAAACAGAAGCATAGAATCAAGATCACGCGAAGTATTAGTACCGCTTTATAAAACCATAGTGGGACCACACCTGGAATACTGCAGCCAATTTTGGTCACCATATCACAAAAAAGATGTTGAGAGTGTGGAAAAAATTCAGAGAAGAGCAACTAAGATGATCAAAGGCCTGGAGACTAAACATATAAA